ACAATACAATAAATTTTCGTGTTTCCTATTTGTGTTCTCTATTCGAATATTTCTTTTCCATTTCACATTTCAAGGAAATCACGATGAAAACTTGTATGATAAAGCTTGCGTAATAACCAAGAAATAATTCTTCACTGTACATTTTTTACAAATTTTTAAATTTATGCCATTCTATCGAGTAGAATTGTAGAACCGCAATTAAATACACAGGACGATTGATGATACGTTCGTTCGAATAAATAATCGGGAAGACAAGAAGCACCTTGGAAACGTTGCTGTTAATTAACAAAAAGCTTCCATTAGTACTCTGTACACTTTTAACAACAGTTCGCGACACAGTGTGTTTGATAAGAAAAAAAAAAAAAAAAAAAAGAGGACGATTAAATGGAAGGAATATCACACGTTCATATTACACACGTTTCCCATTCCTCGAGGAGGAAATTCTATTACCTTGACAAGTCTTCCAGTCGTCCTCTAGGATGAAACCATCAGGGCAGAGACAAAACACTCGTCCCATCGTGGAGAGACAAGTGTGAGAGCATCCAGCGTTGTTGACGCTGCAGGGACCTGCGTCCTGACACGTGTGGTTGTCAGGTGACAGGACAGTGTCCTGTAGACCGTCGCAGGAACATTCATATCCGCCTATGGTGTTCCGACACGTATCCTGACAAGGTCCGTGCCCATTGTTTAATAGGCACTCGTTGATATCTACATGACCAAAGCGATCGAGTAATTTTAATTCCACGTGCCGAGCTTTATTTCACTTTATCGAGTTTGAATTGAATTTAATGACGTGGATGTTGAACTAGCTTGTGGTTTGGTTAATTATGATTAATATACGAGGGAATGAAAAGTGGTGTAAATTAGATTAATTAGTCAGAAATTGGGCATTTGCTCGTGCAGAGAATAATGTAGAATTCTCGTTTCACTGCTGTAAAAATGACTAATATCAGATCTTGCACACAGATTTGTCTTATTTATAATTTTCAAAAGCACGCGGCTATTTTCATTGGCTGAAGAAAGATAATTGCGTGAATCTTGTTCCTTGTGAAATTTCACTGACAACGATGGAAATCATTCTGACATACCTTACGGGTATTTCTTTCAGCAGATTCTATTAAATTAATTGTAATACGATATTCACTGAAATGTCTTTTGCACTGCTTTTCATTTTTCATTAACATAAACATGAAAACACAGAAGAACGTCAGAAGATGATCAATCGACATAAGATAAAAAAATAAATAAATAAAATATAAAATAATAAATTATCAAGTTATGATCGAACAGAATATTTCAAAGAAATAGGAATCACTAATATTTCTAAGCAAATGAGAAACGGACGATCGAAATTCCAACAATGATCGATCGATGGAACAGCACAGGCTTTTTACCATCGTGGTTACACTTGTTGCTTTTTCAAAGAGAGAGATATTGAGAGAGAAAGAGACAGGGGAAGAGAGAGAAAGAGAGCGATATGTTCGTTTCACGGAGGATGTATATTCCGATGCAAATAACTCACCACTGCACGTGAATCTGTCCTCGTTTAGTTTCATCCCTTTTGGACACTCACAACGAAAGGATCCCGGGCTGTTCACACATTTATGTTCACAACCTCCCTTGTTATCCTTGCATTCGTTCACATCTGAATTTCAACGAGTACGTGTAATTTCTGGAATTTGGCTAACTTCCGCGACATGCTACAAGTTTCTGGTTTCATTTCATCACATCGATAATCCATCATGAGTGTAATAATGCTTTAACACACACACTTAAATAGACACACATCTTTACATTGCTTTTATATTATAATTCTATATCGCCCTTATGCTCTTTCGTAAGAGCAATTTAGTGTAATAATTCTAATCTCGGTGTCTATTTAATGTGTAATATGACGAATAGTTAGATCTCGATAATCGATAGATCGCTGATAAAATATCAATATCAAAGAGACTTTTTACAGAAGATTTCCTGACTCTCAATTTTATTATTTCGAAGAAGACAATCCAAGAAGTAATTTTCAGTAATAAGAGAACAGATTCCAATGACACTTTTGTTTCTAAAATTATCTCCCCATTTCCCTTTATTTATTTAAATTTGAACTTTTTTCAAAAATTCGATGTCACCTGCGTGAGATAAAACAATGAGAACTCAAACGAGATAATGCAAAGATCCTGCAATGGAAAAAAAAATTTAACGAATAGTAACGTAAATGCAACTGATTGTCGTTGACAGAAACAAAGTTTTAAAAATTTCATTCTATTCTTCGTATTTCTTGTTCCTTCCATCTATTCCAATCGTGCAATTTATTCTTCTATTTTTTACACGTATATGTGTGTGTGTGTGTGTGTGTGTGTGTGTGTGTGGCGGTGGAATGGAATGAACTTTATTTTGCCAGGCTCGGTTAAGCCGGACTTTTAACTAATTCGGATTACCTGTCTTTACGATTCGTCTAGATTAACGACATTTCCCCCGTTCGGTAGAAGCTAATTTTTCCAAGAGCCCGTTAATTCGAATTTTCGCTTAATTTAAACTACTTTCTCGTTCAACTTAAATTAACGAAGTTTTATTGAATTTGCGTCTAACGGGATTTTCACCCCGGAATTTTTCGTTCTCGTTCCTATTCAATTGTTGCCAATTACGATTCATCCAACGAAACTTCGTCGCGAAGGGGCGAATTTTTATTTAAAAAATTTGTCCACATTACCGCTTCATCTTTCTACTTTTTCCCCACATTTTTGATATAATTCTCAACCCAGGATTTCTTAATCTTAACTTAAACTTATGTTCCAAAGAAATTCCATTTCAAAAGAAATATTTCAAAGAAATTTCACGAAGGGAGATATCCCAGTTTAAGAAAGAAAAAAATTTTTTTTATACCTTCAATATCATTTTCAACCCACAATTTGCCCCCTGCTATATTCAATTACACATTTTCAATGAATGAAGCTCCACCAAAAAAGGAACATTTCAATTTATAAAATTTGCTCACCTTGTTCCTCGACTTCTTTCTCCTCTTTCAATGCAATTTTCTTTACAGAATTCTTTAATCTCGTTTTCGTTCAGTTATCGCGAGAATCCTAACGATTGCTTCAAATTAGTCCCTAAAAAGGAATACTTCACGATTTAAGAAAATTCATCCGCGATCCTTCTATCCCCGATATTTCGAGCGTGATTAATACCGAGAGGCAGCTTGCAAATCCATTTTTAAAATGAGAATCTGTCTTGGCAATAAACCGGAGGAACACGGAGAAAGAGATGAAACGCCGGTGCAACGTTCCCGATATCCGGGATCCTTTTCCGTTTCAAAATGCATAAACGAACTTCGGAATAAAATTTTATAGCGATGCCCCTCAGTTTTATGAGGAACGAGCGCCGATACGTCCCGCGGACAAGCGAGCAACAGCCAAGTGAGTACTTCTGAAACGAAATCGTTGATGTTTTAATACGGACAGGAAGGACTTGTCTCCTGCAGAACGCGGAAGCTGTCAATATTTCAACGAGTCGATCCTGTCGATATTTCATCTCGAGAAATTTCTTTTTCAACGTCCCGACAGCTCGTCTTCCGAGGGAAAACGGTATCGTTTCTCTGTTTTACTATTCGTGTTTCTTTAAAAGAGAGAGAGAGAGAGAGAGAGAGAAAGAGAAGGAGAGGCCAGAAGAGTAAAAACACGAGAGAAATCTTCGACTCGACGAACTATCAAAATATTATTAGACGGCGAAACGTTATGGTAATTTTACGACACGTCGAAAATACTTTATGCAGGTCGCGCGAGTCCGAAAACGATCCTACAAAATCTGCTTCTGAAAATATTACGAGGATTACATGATCCTGATCGATGGAATGAAATTATAATAAAACCACGAAAATTAAAATAAATGAATGAAAGATAGAAGAACGTCGTGGTTTCTGTTTTACAGGATTGGAAAAAAATATCTTAACACCTAATTGTTCACGTCGTTATGCATGCGATACATACGTGTGCTTTGTGTTTTAGCTTTTAGAGAATAAGAGACAAAATCAGTGACAAATAGTGAATCATTATTTGCAACGCTGAATACGAAAATGAATGATATTGCCTGATTTATATGGTTCATAATGTGTAACAGACGTAAATACAGAATTTCTGTTTCGATTATATTTATACTTGAAATTCTAAATGCAAGTCTTGAGTAATTTGGATGTATTGAAATTTGTATGTTTATGTCCATAACCAAATGCATTACATACTAATATCATTTCAGTAGAACAGTATAAGCGTGACCAATTAAGTATTATATGTAGACTGATATTTATAAATTTATAATAGTCTGCAGATGTTTGCGCATTCGTGTGAAATTTGAACGTGCACAGAATGCATAAAATATCCATAATAAAGTACTCGTTATAACATTAAGAAGATAGAAAAAATCCCCGTCTATGTTCGGTCAAATCTCGTATTTCGTAATAGTAGAAATTTACGTTCATTCGTTGTTAATAAAAAAATATATTCCCTTCTTTATCAACGAATCCTTCGTCTAATCGATAAATTTGTTTTCGTTTGAATTCACCTTTACATCGTAAACGTGAATAATATTTTGCTCGCGCAACGCATTTTGTAAATTAAAATACGAAATAACACTGTAACAGATAGATATCAAATAAATGTAAAAAAATGAAATATATGAAACAGCAGAGACAAGATACTTCGCTTTTTAAAAATAAACTCGACATTCCTTCGTTCGAATTTCAATCCTTGAAAAAAGAAGAAAAATGAACTTACCGCACAAATATCTGTAAACTAGTTGTGCGCTGTTCAAATGAAAGCAAGCAAACAGTTGATAGCATC